ATTCCAGTGGATAAAGTAAGCTTTAAACTGAAATCTGAAAAATGTTAGCTCCTCCAAATGGAGTTTCTCGGCTACGTTGTGGGGAGAGATGGTGTCTTGACAGATCCATCTAAAGTAGCTGTGGTAAGAACTAGGTTTCAACTTGTGTTCAAGCGAGAAATCAACAGTTTTCTCAGTTTTGCATTGTACTACAAATGGTTCGTGGCCAACTTCTGCAAGATAGAAGCACGTTTGTCTGCTTTCACGAAAGTTGAGATGCACTTTGGATGTAATGAGGAATCCCTGAAGCTCGTTTTAGTGAATTCTCTAGTGCTAGCCTAACCACAACAAGATACTGAGTTCCTTTTAGACAGCAATGCCAGTAAAAACGGAATTGGATCAGTGTTATTGCAGTTGTAGAACATTCAAATTATTTGCAATAGTCATATGCCTGTGGTTCCTGAATATAGATACTCTACAATGTAAAAAGAACTCCTCGCAGTTCTAATCTTTGTGAAACACTATTGCCACTACTTGTATGGTAGGAAGTTCACCATCTGTTCACTGAAGTGACTTACGAACTTTAAAAATCTGGAAGGGGTAATAACACATTGGATCACAATGTTGCAAGAATATAAATTTGTCACATTGCATCACCTCGTCCTGCAATATGAAAACAGGTTATCTATCTTGCCATGTGGTGGTGTATTTGTGGAATGTCCTAATCCTGTACACTGAGTAGAAGTTGAAACCATAGTCATTTCAACTATCGCAAAGGTAAGTCACGTAGACTGGTTTCAAATCTTGAAAAACCTCTTCAAAACTTGTTGGTGGAATTTCCGAGGAATTATTGGCAATCTGGTATTTCTTTATGAGAAGCCCCCAGTGGCATAGCGGTATGTCTGCGGACTCACAACACTAGAAACCTGTTTTTGATACCCGTGGTAAGCAGAGCACAGATAGCCCATTGTGTAGATTTGTGCTTAACTTTAAACAAACAAATGTTATGAGCTGAATCTGAAAATTTAGGTATTTAAATCTTTGCAAGCCATGTTTTGTGCTAAAAGCAATCTTAGATCTGCTCTTATCATCCGCCTGGATTTACCAGTAGCTGGATGTCAGATCCAAATTGTTGGACTGAAGGGAACCTTCTAACAAGTCTAGACATCCATGTGTTTTTGGTAAAGGAAATACATCATTACAGGTTAGCATATTCACTCATCTAAAATCAATACAGAACCTTGGCACTTTCATTCTTCCTTACATGTACTAATGGAGATGATCAAACGCTCTCCAAAGGTTGTGTGACTGTCCCTCATCATTTGGATGCATTACAGTACTGGTAACCTTTCTAGTGCTCCAAGAAACTTGGCACAATAGTTGCTTTATGAGACGTGAATTGCCTGTATCTATGTGATGCTGAGTCACCACTGTTTTATCCAATTTGCCATCTAGTCTAATGAATACATTGGAATATTCAAACAACAAATTGCTGTGTTGCTTTTGCTGCATTAGGCCTAGACTGTTTACACAATCCACAGCCAATCATCAGGATGTGTTGGTAGCTGCATACTTACTTTTGGTTAGGAGGTTGCAGATACAACCCTAACATTACCACTAGGATTGGTTACTTCCACTTTGCTTACCATGCTATAACCATTCCAGTGTACAACCAGACAGCCCATCACCATAATTGCAAAAACTATACTGGGACTTCCGAACTAATATACCTGCTTTCTTGACAGGAAAAAAAAATCATGCATAGTTTCTATATCCATGTTACAAGCATGGGGAGGCTGTAATTTCAAGATACAACTTGCAGAATGTGTAGCATTACAGCCATACCTCCTCCCATGAGCAAAGTAGGTATAACCTCAGTAAATTGACAAAAACCAAAGGCAGTTAGGACATCATCAACTTAATGACTTTCTTGACCAGAGGTTATGTAAAACTGCACGCATACACAAATCACTAATAAATTCAGAATAATACTATATTAATACAAGAAGTTAGAAATGCAAGGTATGTTTAAATAACAGGCAATTGCTTGAGATGACAACCTTCTTGTAACTGAAACAGCTTTTGTCAAGGACGAAATGTTCCTCACACTCTTGATGTGAAACATGGATTCAAGTAGGAGCCCCTAGATGAAGTTGTTTGTCAAGATCTCAATCACAATTCATTTTTATGAAAAGACAGGCTTGAAAAATGGCTGTCACATGAAAATGATTTGATAGGCTCATTCACCAAGTTTTTCATATATTTTCTGCTATATTTATTTGGCAATCAACCAATTTCTCAACATGAACCACTCTTAGTATTACAACATTATTCAAACTAGAAAAGTTTTTTTACATTGTACCAAAAAAATACAGGCCAATTTATTAGGCTTTTGTTATAAGTTTTGATTACCATTACAGTGAAGAACCTTATCATTTTCTCCAAATTTCAGTTTTTAACATCTTTTTATAAAAACATAAAAATATGTTATGTTTTAGGTTGATTGAAAATATAGGTGTTTACAAGTCATTTTCACACAAACATAGGGCCACTCTCAAGATATAGCCTTTAATAGGTTTTCATAAGTTCACTAGGAAACCTTAGATCTATTCACAATCTGTTAATATCATATCAGGATATGTTTTCTTTGTAAGTATTATTAATCATCCATATAATTGCAACTAAATTCTTGTGAATTCCACGTTTCAGAATTTTGAACTGAGTCCTGTGGATAGATTGATTCTATACTGGGTTTAAACCTTGATTCAACTCTGCCACAACTGTATCTCAGTCACTGAGTTTTCTTCATTGAACTTTTCTAAAACATAGAAAACTGGACCATTTAAATTAAATTAAATTGATGCACAATGTGAACTGAGTCTTGTCATTCTAAGCAATTACATGCTCGAGACACTTCAAAACACTGTCAAAGTTCATCTTAACAGTATCCTTGAATGTCAGTGGGCTAAGTTGATTTACATTGCCACCACTGACTGGCAGCAGTGAATTCAAATGCCTATGTTCAGCATCTTGATCATCAATCGGTTGAGGTGCCAATGACACCAAAGGCATTGGGAACACCAGTGCCTAAGTAAACATGTTATTTGCAGTCAAGATCAGCATAGTAATGTGTGAAGACAGCATACACGTCATCTCATGGCCCTGCACTATATTTGACCTACAGATGACCTTTAACAGCTTCAATCCTCCATCTTCATGATCTTGAGGGCTTTTGGCTGCTCCAAAGATCAGCAGTCTCTTGGTAATATGCTTACCACTTGTCCTGATGGTAGGGCAGCTCCTCTTTGGAGGCTTCATTCTTCAGGGTATTTACAAGCCATTTCATTCTCATTGGAGACTCCAACTTGTGATAAGGTTTGACTATTGTGGTTTAGTTGGAGTCTCAGAATGTCCAGATGACTCATCATAATGATGACCAGGTCTAATGGTCAACCTCTTTTATAGACTGGAAACAACCCTAAGAGGAATACAGTGTCAGCAGTCTGGTGGCCTCTGACTGTAGTTCAACTTCCTGGTACCAAAGCCAAGTTGAGAAAGCAAACATAGCTTTTTGGGGTCTATGACAAAAGGCCTTTATCCAGGAAAGGACTTATCCTAGACTGTTCCATATTCTCAGATCCAAGTCTCCCCTCAGGAACTGTTTCCTCCTATCTAACATATTCATTTTGTATCTTGGAAAAGGACTTAAAAAAAAAACGAAAATCTATCTGTATGTCTATCATTATCAATGGACATGGACCATTGTTGGTAGGACAATGAGGAATAATATTCTACATATGTCTACCAAGAGTCATCAGAATCCAATCATTTTTGTCTGAGTTATAGAGCAAAAATAGTGTGAAAAATCAGTCCCCATGTTCAGATGGGGATGTTTTTTATTTTTGTGACTTTGACCTTCCAAAAACTAATCACTTCTCAGTTGGGTTATAATCCAAATGTATACCAACTTTCATCCAAATCCATTCAACCATTTTCGAGAAATCTTGCTGACAAACACACACACAAACAGGGGTGAAAACATAACCTTCGGTGGTGGAGGTAATAATCTTCTGACTGTGAATTGACATTGAAACTCAACAAATTATGCTTAAAAATTAGAATTAGTTGAAAATTTGGGACATTTTAAGCAACAAATATTATTTACACATTTTATACTTGATAGTGACTCATAGGTTTGTGTGTGCTTCAAATATAATGTTATGATTAATCCTTTCACATGTTATTTTAATTCCTAGTCCTAATAAAGAAATACATACATTTTACATATGTAGAGTATTTGTGATTTAAATAATAATTGAAAACACAATATGCTTTATAAACTTCCAATACCAAAATAAACCCATTTATATGAGCTAATGTATCGGGTAAAATATTTTTTTTGCTTTTTTAATCCTCCTATAAAATAATGATCATATACTTATCTTTCCTAATGTAATATAATTATCAAAATCTACAGAAATGTAAGTATAAGCTTTAGTATTCTTTGGTGATGTTTGTAACTAGGCTTAATATATATATGGATTAATAGAAATGTAACTTGGAAATTACAACATTGAATGTTTTCTCTACTTTTATGACTTTAAACATTGAATGAAATTCACAAACAATGTTTCTTCATAATTTGCCTCAGATTAATTTATGTTCAAACAATTTTGAATCATTTTTATTACAATAGCACCAAACCAATCATTTTATATACCCAGGTTTTAATGTTAGGGAAGATCAGACATGGAATTTTTGAAACTGTAATTTCAAAATGAGTGATGAGTTTTTGCCGCAATAGTCTGTTTCAGGTCTTATGAATAACAATAAGCTTGAGAATGATAAATCACATCATACAGAATGCAACTATTCATAAATTTATATATATTTTTTGGCAAAATGATCTGTGATACAGTCAACAGTGAGTATAATCACTGACATGATTAAACTCTCACTATTTACTAGGGAAAACACACATAACAGTATAAAATACTTTGAAAAAAATATCAAGGCTTGAATGACTTATTATATTGGGTACTTTATTTCACAGAAATCCATTCATTCAGCTGAAGTATTTACTACAAAATATACATACATATCCTATTCACATAAGATTATGTTAACACTCGAACTGAAATTAATAATATGAAGACTACATATTAAACAAAACCAAAAAAGGATGGATTAAACAGATAAATCATACTCACAATATCCTCTGAAGTATACTGTATGTTTTATTACAGAAACACTTTGATACAACGCATGTTACTACCCTGTGATGTTGCCTATATCTTAAAAAAAAAAAACCTGAAAGTTCCATATTTTACATAAAAATTAATAATCAAACAGATTTATGTTTTTGTATATGTTTTCTCACAGAAATTCTTGTGACTGTTCCAAAAGTTTAATCTGGCTAAACTGAAAAAGCTGTAGCATTTGTACTAAATATTCAGTGTCTATTTTGTATGTATGCAGATTGTGCCTGTTTGCTAATATATGATTTTGTAATTTAAGTTTCTGATAAATTTTTAAACAAGATATTGTGTAGATAAAGTATGAATTGCTTTCATGGCTTACATAAGTTATTTATTTTGTTATATTCTATTCCAAGTCTTTAAAACTATATATTTTCAAAGCTGAAAGACCAAAACATGTTTCTGACAGATGGGTATCAGTTTTAATTATTAACCACTTGTCCAATAAACCTTTGTATTTTTTTTCTAAATACAAGATTAATAATAATTTCTCAGGTCTATAAATCAATTATATGAAATACTAATCTTAACATTTTCAAAGAATTTTCCAATGTAGTCAAAGAACATCTTGCTTTTCTCCAAGAAGGGGGTCAACAAATGAAACTGTGTTATCACTTTTCAAGATATTTTTTTTCTTAGAGATTATTTCCTTTGGTTTATTTTTTGACTTGGTTGTTGTTGGTGGTGTTGCAAATATATCATCTGAAATACATATTAGGGAAAAGACATTTGTCAAACAGATGGAATATTGTCAATTACACAATAATAATGATCAAAATAAGAATATCTCAAAAATTATTTTATACACATGTAAGTGTGCTGGTAAATAACAAAGTTAAAGAGCTGAGTAACAATAATGAAATAGTATTCTTCAATAAATTCTGCAGTCACGTATTTTACATCAAAAATGTTCTTCAAACAAAGCAGCTCCAGCTTTTCAAAGTGCTTTCTTTTCTATATTTTGTAATAGATTTTGAATGATTGAAGGCCAAGTTAAATATTTTTGAGGCTCTGAGAATTTTCATTTAGATTGCACGTAATCAGTCAATAAAAATTTTAAAATAAGATAGTTATTAACTCCAGAACACCAGTGTAAGGTCACTATGACCCCCATACAACTTAAACCTGTATATTAAACTAACCATGTTCTGGGGTTATATAATAATGATTTTTTTTATTGGTGATTTATATGAAAAATGTATATTTTGGTTAATTTAACTGTGTGTTGGTTACATTTTCTTAATTAGCTGAACTACATATTATGGAAAAGACATTTGTCAAACAGATGGGACATTGTCAATTACACAATAATAATGATCAAAATAAGAATATAACAAAAACTATTTTATACACATGCAAATGTATCCTGTAAACAGTGACAATTTTAATTTAGATTGAAAGTAATCAGTTAATGAAAATTTGAAAATGAGATAGTTATTAACCCCAGAACACTGGTGTAAGGTCACTATGACCCCATACAAATTAAACCTGTATATTAAACTAACCATGTTCTGGGGTTAAGTATTAATTATTTTGTTTATTGGTAATTTATATGAAAAATGTATATTTTGGTTAATCTAATTCCTTAGACTTAATACACTGTGTGTTGGTTACATTTTCTTAATTAGCTATATTCACCTCCAGGTTGATATTTAGTTTTGCTCTAAGCAGGTAACTTTCTCTGAATTGAACTTAATATTAATTAAATAATAAATGAATGACCAAGGTTTTTTCCAAAAATACTAACCAGATCCATCACTGTCAAATAGCAGAGATGACTGTGAAATGGTTGGTTTTGGTGACTTTATAGAGGGCAGGTTTAAAAAGATGTCATCTTCTGTATCAGCAAATATATCCACTGTAGTTCCTTGTGGCAGTTTACTTGATGTTTGTTTATCTATTTTCACAGAAATATCAGAAGTTTCTTTTTCAGCCTAAAGAAAAAAAAATTATAACACTGCTATTACTAATATCCTTGTATGATCACATATTTTAATGTACCATTGAAAATAAAATAATAATGACAACATGAAATTACATTGAATGTTTCGAATTGAGTAATTTGTAGACAAATGTACAAAAAAAGAAAAAAGAAAAGGTTTATGGATTTAACCATACTAGCAAATTATAAAACTCCAAGACAGTCATGAACAAAAAACATTACAATGTGATTTTACAACCTAAAAATTTGTTGGTTTTAGCACAGGACCACACAATAGGCTATCTGCACTCTGTATATTGTAAGGAGTCAACCCCCCCCAGATTTTTGCTTTGTAAGTCAGGAAACTTACTGCTGACCCTAATAGGTTATGATGATTTTTTTAAAATCAAATACATAAATACAAATGATAAGTGACTTAATGCGTATCAGATATATTCCAAAAAATCAAAAACAGGTGAAAAGTATAATTCATATTCTTTCTTACAAATAATGAAAATGTAATTTAAACATTTAGTTTAGTTCCTTTAAAAAAGGAAGAATGATTTTGGGTTTCTTGAGGTCAATAATGTATCTCAATTTCTTCAAATAATACCAATAACTCATACTTATAGAAGAAACACCTTCCACGGATTTATAATCTGAAACTTAAAGCTGCATAAAAATCTGCTGTACAAGTAATCTATTTACAAAATAAAATTCTGATAACAAATAAAAGCAAACAGTATGTTTTAATCATAACCAGCATTTCTTAATTCACTTAATAAAAGCTGACTGGAATCTTTTAATACTCTTAAGTGTTTCAATAAGTGTGACCGTGACAGTTGCACATACAAGTATTTATTACTAAAAAATTGTGTAGGCAAGGAAATTAAAAAATGTAGAAGAACATAAACAAGGTAAAATACTTGTCAAATTACAAAAAGTACTGACAAAGTTGAAAACAAGAGCCCTTCTCTGGTGTTCCAGTGAGGAGAAAGCAGTTTTTAAGAATAGACAGGGTATAAAAAAAGCCTATATCTTTTAAAAACTGTTTTCTCCTCACTGGAAACCCGATGAAGGTGTGTAACTAAAAATTCCATGTTCCATGTTCATCAGTAAACTTATTTTATCTAGTCATATAAATTAGTGACATCTAGAGCTGGACTGCAGTTGCAGAAGAAGGTTAACTCATTTCCATTGTTATTCATCTTCCAATCTAACTATGAAATTTAACTGCCATAAAGGTTTCTCAAACAACAATCTATTGTAATATATTTAGTCCAAGTAATAGAAGAACTCTGAGAAAAAAAAAATACACTAAATTACATATACATAAGACATTGATTTTATCACCAGCTTTTTATAATTATCAGACTTCAAATTTGATTGATATTTTTATTATGATCCACAATAGTCATACTAAACATTATAAGAAAACTTAAGATGCAATGTAACATTTTTATCCAAACTTTCCCTAACTGTACAATAAAAATTTAAATTTTACTACCTAAAACTATGTGCCCATATTTAAAATACCCCCTTCTATATTTTAATTCTAAGTTAAATGTTCAAGAAGTAAACAAGTGTGGTGATTTGTTGTAAGTGTATGAAAGAAATGAGATGTAGTGTGACATTGAATAAAAAATGAGGACTTTATTTACTGGAGAAGAATGAATTAAAAACTGACTGATGGGCTGAATGGAACACTATTGGAGTGAATAAAAATAAACTAAATAAGAAGGTAAGTAAAAGAAAACTGTATTGAAATGAAGTCAAAACATACATGATCAACAAGTCACTTGAGGAAGAATAAGCCATGATATTTCACCAATAGTCCTGATTATTTCACTTAAGGTATGAAAACTCCAAAACTGTGTTTACAATTCCCCTTCTTTCTGTAGTTGACCAATCAAAAAATTGAATCACAAGAACTCAAATGTATCTCTGCTCTATGCGAGTCATGTAGAAGTCCCATATATATATATTGTAAAGTAGGACACAATAAAAGTATCCAATAAAGCAGTAGATAATTTTCATGGTTGAATACTGCTACAGAAAGTAACACTTGTGGTTTATATTTAGTACATTCCTAATTATAACTGAAGAAAATTAAAAAAAAATTTAAAAGTGAAAGGGAGTAACATATTTAGAACTTATATACCACAATTCCCTTCTCTTTTATCTTAGGTATATTTTGAAGCAAACTAAGTTTAATTTAAATTTTTAACTGACGATGCACAATCACAACCCTTGGCCAGACTGGATGCTAATGCAACAGAACAACAAAGAACACACAACATGATAATGTACTATATGAACTATGTGAATACATGGCTCATACATCTATCTGCATAACTAAGCTCTCAGAATGTCAGAGAATATTCTGGTTGTTTGTGATCTCCCCATATCTCTCAGACTACCCAGCAAACACATTGTCACTTTCCCTCAGGTGTCAAAGTGTTAGATTAGTGAAATGTTTTTTCATACGTCACATGGTTATTAAGACACACAAGTAGGGTATCAAAACACTTAAATTCATGTTGACAGTACAGGTTAGTGTAAAAAAGCATTATAAAGGTTGTTAATACTATAATGCAGTTAGATATAAAGTAAATTAATAAGATACAAATTTTTGAAACTTGTTTTAATGTTAGTGATTTTTATATGGTATCTAGTTGTCTTGTTTCTTTTTCCTTGTTGCTTAAAGAACGTTAGTTGTGTGTTTTCTCAGTAATATACGAGCATTCAATTCAGTGCTGATATTATGGCTAAGACCTGTAATAAAAACTATAGTGCTGAAGAGTTCAACTTCTCCATTCACTGCAAGCCTATCACCATTTACTAAAATAGTCTGTAGTTAGTGGCCAGAGAAGTGGTCTACACTGTAGTGACTGATACACCATGGGATCAAATTGGAGTTATAGCTGCTCCTTCAGAAACTTAAAAAAATACCTTACCTTCATAGGAACATACTGGACCATGTTTGGCCTTATAAACACAGAACTAACTCCCACACATGAAGGAACAGATATATGGTACTTTTCTACAAGATCTCACACTAGTTTGAGCTACTGGATCTGAAGGCATTTAGAGCCTGTAGTAAAATATTTGATATATTTAGAGTGGGCACTTGTGAAGGCAAAGGGAAAGGAAATATATGTTCCCAATGACCAAACTGTTCATAGTTGTGGCAGGTAACTCTTCTTCCTCACTCTCTCCATGGATCAAGAAACTTCTCCATCCACATAATTGGCAAAGATGGAATAGCAGGTCCAAGAACTGAGCCACCAAACAGTATCTGTGGGGGTAGCACGACTCAGGGGCTCTTTCAAAACTACCATTGCAGTTTTCACTGCTGATTTCTTCCACTACAGAAACTTAGTTGAAATTACTATATCAAACCTTGTTGCCATTGCCACAGCTTAAATTAATGAGAAAATGTTTTTATCACCCATGTGGTGTTACATGAACAAACTAAGGTGTCCCTCCATAAACTTAACAACCAATCTTCTCCATTCACTGCATGGATCCAAGGTCTACAAATTTAATCAGGTTTCACACACTCCATAGCATGTAATGCTGAACCATCTAAAATATGAATAGCATCACTGCTTGTGGCCACTTGAACACTAGATCCTTGTTGGCATGTGATGTCATCTGACCATCACGGCTTGACTCCAGCATGGGGCATAAAATGCACTGAATGCTGACTTTTGTGGTTTGCTGAAAAGGGGGTTACACTGTAACATTTGTTAATTGCCCCATATAGGCAACTTTCTCTTACTGTCATTGAGTTCAGATGATCTATATGATAACAACTGGTACACTTCCTGGTTCTAGATGGTCCAGTTATCTTGGTGGATGGAAAGAAGCTATAGCTCTAGAATGCCTGCTGAAGTGTCAGAGAGCAACCAGTTTCAGCAAAGTGTTTCTCCAAGTCCATCTGAGTCCTCTGATATTCCTATAATTTGGCATTCCTCCTCTACACATTTTCACAAAGACATCTCTTGGACAATACCTCATAAGGAATTGACATTATAAATCAACTACAGCATCAAAATTTTGTCTTAATTAAGGTATGGTGCAATATTCCAAATATTAACCTTGCACACAGTTACCAAATCTTCACAGTAACTGGAGATTCATGGACCTGGGAAGCAGAATGGCAGATATATTTGCTGTAGGTGGAAATAAAGAGATAAGACATGTTGTGAAGTTGAATAAAAATAAACATTTTATTTTACGGATGAAATAAAAGCTGTCTTACTTTATAAGCAGAAGATTATTGTGCTGTTGAATTGAATAAAAATAAATTGTTCTTACGTTCAAGTGAACACGATCTTTACTTGAACTGAAGACAAAACACAGATGATCAGCAACTTAAGAATGGCTACTGGATTTCACAGCAAGTCTTGACTATTTCAAAACCAGTATATATTTTTACACTAGAATAGTTTCAAATACATTCTGGCATTGTTCATTTACTTTCCCAGTAATATTTCCATACAATAATCATGTACATGTGATACTTTGTAAGTTATGTTTCATTCACTCCATTACATAGTTGATGTTCAAACTTATATTCTCATTAACTTGTTATAAACAAGATTCTACTAATGAATGATTAGGCCACATATTGCAAATATTAGATCATTCTAAAGTGAATTTCATCCACTGTTTGAATTATGTTTTACTATTAATATTCATATATTTATTTATATCCACATACATTACATGACTCTTTAAACAAAGCACTTCTCACTATACCCACAATTACTTTTATGAACATTCATTAGCTGTTAGACATCACATTACAAACAAAGCCTCTAGAAAATGAAAACACTGTACAATATACACCACTGTTACTTTTTAAAAACTTTTCCATTATACAAATATCCACGTGTTTTGTGTCTAGATTATATTACATACCTTCGAAGTGTGTTTGTCAGCATAACTGAGGGTATCCTTTTCAAAACCAGCTGTGACAAAAACAGTAGTTATTAATACATAGTGAGTAAGATCAGTTAAACCTACTTGAATAGAAATCTAACAACATTTAAAAACTTTTTAAATTTGTTTTAAGAATATACTTGATACTTAGGAAATTAAAACTGGTAAAATATACTGTTCATTAAAATTTAATATTTGTTATACATGTCTGCTTTAAAATAAAGAGAAAAATAATGATTTAATATCAAACAAAAATTTTTTCATAAAAAATTAAAATCATAAAAATAAAAATTTCAGCATTTAAATCTTTAGAGAATAATATCTTAGTATAAAACTATTTACAAGAGAACTCTGATTCATACATCAATTTTAATCATATATATTTTTATTTTCACTTAAAAAGTAGAGCACCTACCCTCACCAGACAACTGAGACGAAAATTTCCCATCATCTGAAAATAAAGGCTCACTCTCACTGAATATGTTTATTCTACTAACTGAAGGAGATGTAATTTCAGCAAAAATGTCATTTTTCCGAGAATCTCCGACTTTTGGAGGATGAGCATCCTGTTGCACAGAGCTATCTTTCAAATTGCTGGAAATAATGGGACTGGTTTTTCCAAATAAGCCACTTTCAATGGAAGCACTGTCAGAAGATTTGGAAGGAGTGAACAAATCAAAAATGTCCTGTTCTTGTGACTTTACAGGTGATTCAGCAACTGAAAAAATGTCCTCCTCCTCAGTAGAGGGGGACTTGAGAAAACCAGAATTAACTGGTTTTGGGGGAGCAAGAAAGGATGAAATTGGTGGATTTTCTTCAGTTAATGAAGCTATTAACTCTTCTGAACCATTTTCCCCATCGACTACATCCACATGTATCTGTGAATGTCTGACAGCTGCATGTCTTCCTTTACGGGAAGGTGGTCTTCTCTTGCTTTGGATTCTAACACGGTCCTAAAGTTAACAAAACTTATAACTGTAAACACACAAAATAAATTCCTGAAATTTTAATTTTTCCTGTTATGGTTGAGTTCAAACAAATCTAATACTGTTTATTAATAAGACTGTCATTGTGACAAAACCAGGTTTGAGTTCAGGAATATTTTGAAAAGCTTTCAATTTTGTGTATATATATATATATATATATATATATATATATATCTTACTACTATACAGTAATAAACTAAACAATAAGTAATTTAAATTAAAATAATAATAATAATAATATTAAATTACTTACTATTATTCTGTTAT